GGCGGCCGCTGGCATTCGCCGTTGTCGCGGCCTTACGGCATTGCGGGCCGTGCAGGCTTTGCTGCCAAGGGACGGGGCTTCTCGCGCCTGGTGCAGGAGGGTGGTCGTGAAACCTTAGATCAGCCACCCGCGGGCAGTCTCCTTGCGGATTCCGGGCGTGTTTATCTAAAAAGCGCACCATAACTAGCTGCTTTTGCACTTCAGAAATGCAGGTCTCGATGTGCCTCTCAGTAGCATTATGGAGATCATACAGCTGTGCCTGCCAGGCTTTGGCTGTGAATCTCTGAGAGGGCTTATTTAAGTAAGGCATTATAGAGAATTACAGGTTTTCTGCTCTTCACGAAAGTCTGGAACTGGTCATCCTGCGGGCTGCAAAAATCGGTTTCTGCGGTGAGGTGGGGCTGGTAGCATTCGGTGATGCTGGTGCACCACAGCGTGCTAGGAGCTAAGTGAAATGGTTAGCTTATGAAAAAATACAGCTGCTCTCTCCAAGATGTAAACTAAACTAGTATCCACTATAAGCCCTACCTTTTTTTTTTTTTAATTGAAATACTGAACATTAGCAGGGGTGCTTTTTTTTTGAAATAAGGGATTATCTGCAGTGTAGAATATAGACTCACTAAAGACGCTGTTTGCCTGATTTGTGTGCTTAAAAATTATGCATAGCTTAAGAACATTGGAAATTTTCACTGCTTTCCAAAAATCATGCTTGTGTTACTGCTCTGTTTATGTGAGGGTGGGCATCCTTTCTTTACACGGGTCAAGGCTGCATGAGGTTTTTCCTTCAGTGGTAATGGCTACAGCAGTGTAACCCGAGCACTGGGTTTGATAGAGAATCAGGCCATTGACTTTGATGAGTGACTTGAGAGCATATAACCTACTCTGACTGCCATTAGTGCAGAATATCTTCTGGAAGAGTAATTACCTGCAGTATCTTAGTTGATTTTTACCTTAAACTACACAGAAATGCAGAACTGCTTTTAGAGTTTAGTTGACTACAGGGGATGGTCTGTAATTCATTTTGTTGACTCTGAAGGTCTTTTTAGAGGTGGCTGGAAACGTTACAAGGAGAAAATGTAAGGAAGGCTTTTAATCATTAATTGACATGCAGAGAAAAGGAGATACTAACAAGTACAAAGTCTCTGGACTTTGTGGAATTAAGCCTTATTACTGTTGTTTTAGTTGAATCTAAACTTGTGGAAATAAAGGTTGGTTTACTGTGCACTCATGGATTTTCTGTGATGTGCTTTTGTTCAGTACTACTTCTGCTCTCTGTCCTGTAGGAAATTGTTTGCTACTGGTCTTCGGCTCACTAAATTCTTTGACTCAGTTTGGCCATTTGCATTCTGTCTCTGTGTGGGCCACATAGAATAGAAAAACTGATCAAATCAAAGTAAGATTTATTTAATTAGGTACAAGTTAGTTTTATTGATCCATTCTTTGCTTACCACCCTTCTCTGTTTGGGAGAAACAAGCAGTTCATCAGAGATTTAAAACTGGGCGTTATCTTCTTAAAGATAGCTTAAAATAGGACAGGTTGGGGGTATACAAGGTAAGGCATTGTTAATGTAAGTAAAATTCAGGCTTTTTACCGCCTTTACTCTTGGCAAAGGCCACAAGTCCTCTGAGCAGAATAAAAAAGCAGTATAGTCGCATAGAATTTTCACTTTACTGATTCACAAATAACTGAAAGCATCTAGGAAATACATATTTTGAAGAATGTAAGGTATATGTTTATAAGTATGCACTCTTTGTGGCTTAACTCAACCAGTAACTACCAGAGATGTTTTGCTGTTAAATGTGATGGGTAAGTCAGAGATGCCCTTTGGTTAGCACTGGCAGAGTGCATGCTCAGTGTGGGCACCTGCAGACTGTGGTGGTTGCAGTAGCAAGTCCGGGTTCTGTGGTTGGCCGTTTGCACAAAGAGGCATAGCTTCCTTTTCTCTTTGCTTTCTCTTCTATTTCTCTTCCTATTGGAAGTTCCTAATTTGAAATGTATTTCATGTAATTAGGTGCTGTATGCAGTTTCTGATTGATAGTAATTTTGGTACTTGCAGAAAATTAGTTGGGAGTCAGCTACTTGCTACAGACAGTTGTTCATATTTCAAAAGTGATGCCTTTCCCTCAATTTGAGAATGTCTGAAGTAGAGCCAGCCTTAATACATTATTCTGAAATAATCTTTTTCTGAAGCACTTGGTGCTATTGAGAACAGAAATGTTATATGTCCTCAATCACATACCTTCAGGTTCTTTGAAATTGCCTTGCTATCTTTGACCAAGGCAATATTCAGACATAACTGGAAGATGATTAGCAACTCTTTGCCATTTGTTTTATTGAACGGGGTGTTAATAAAAAAGTGAAGTAAGCATAAATGTACTTTTTATAGGCATGCATGCCATCAGCTCTGTTAGTTGTTATGCATATGTGGAAATAATAAATCATGAACCTAATTGCATATTACCTTGCTGAGAAGACTATAGCTTTTAATAATACTTAACACGAGAGTAATGATTATTTTTTTCATACCAGCAGGTCTTGCTAAGTAGGTGTTTTGTGTTTAGAAACTAGAGGACTTTGAACAATATATCACTCCAGAAAAATCAGCATCTCTGCTTATGTTTGAGGTATCTGATAATCTGCTTAAGTATGTATTTAGTGGGGCATATTGGTTTACTTAAACTCTTGCCTTTCTCTGAAGCAAATTATGTTTTAACTCTTTGCTCTTCCTCCAGTGCCTTGCGTTCCATGATATTTCACCGCAAGCTCCAACACATTTCCTAGTGATTCCTAAGAAGCCAATTGTCAGGTTATCTGAAGCAGAAGATTCTGATGAATCTGTAAGTACTCTAGAAGCTTTCTGTACACCAAACTGTACCTCTAATTACTTCATAATTTTCTAGACTCGCCCCCTTTTCCTCTTGAGATTTCAAAGAGGCAGAGTAGTTTTCTGATACTATAATCCTTTTCCTCTAGCTTAGAATGGGAATGGAGTTAAGGTTTTCCAGTAAAAGTAGTGTTATTAAGCGAAGCATATCTCTGGGTATGTGTTTGCCGTGCAAAATGCATTATTATTTTGGAGTACAGTCTTGATGTCTGTTTTCATGTTTACAGGCAGTAGTACTTATTCTAATATGGGCTTGGGGTTTTTGGCAGGTCAGATATGAAGAAAGGGAAAGTTAGCTGAGAGGTGCTGAATATTTCATTTGTATACTATAAACATAAAGTTCGAAGATTTTGTAAACCTTTACATGATAAGACAAAGTTTCTTTTCTACCAGAATTATCCATGTTGCCTGAAGAAGTAATGGGGGCTTTAATCATGAGATAAATGTAGCTTCTGTGACACTTTTGTAGTCTGTTACGGTCTAGCTTGAAAAAAATCTGTAGCTCTTTTTTTCCTCTATATTATGCCTAGTCAGTCTTTATAGCTTTTCTTGGAAAATGTCAGTTGTGGGCAGACAACAATTTGAAGAGCAGTGGCTGAATTTCTACAAATTAGCTTATTGGCTTATCTGAATGGTTCTCTGCTCTCATTCCTTCCCTTCCTGCCCTCTCCCCTTTTTGTGTGTTTTCTGTTCGTTTTTTTCTTTTTTTTTTTTTTCTCCTCCAGCTTCTTGGGCATTTAATGATTGTTGGCAAGAAGTGTGCTGCTAACCTGGGCCTGACCAATGGATTCCGGATGGTTGTGAATGAAGGGCCTGAGGGTGGGCAGTCTGTCTATCACGTACATCTCCATGTTCTGGGTGGTCGTCAGTTGGGCTGGCCTCCTGGCTAAGATTTTTACACCACAAGAGTTAACTGCATGCATACAGATTACCACCAAATAGATTTAATATGTTGCCCATCAATCTAGCCACTGTTAATGTATTTTTTTTTTGAATGTGTGTCTACAAAGGGTAATAAAGGCTCTGAACAGCATTTGCACAATAAAGATCTAGCATGTGGGAATCATCTCTGTCTGGTGTGCCTTACTGATGGAAACAATTCTTCAAGTTAAAATGGTGTTCTGTGGAGTTTAAGTATGTAGCGTGTTTCAGTCTGCTGTTAACAACCTTCTGGACATAGTGATTAGCCGAGGCATTTGAAATGTGAAGGTGCAACTGCTTAGCAATCTTTCATGTCTTTTGGGAAGAAAACTTGTAAGCTTTTTGAATGTGGTATGTAAATATTCATAAAGCCAGCGTAGGCTTCTGCTAAAACTTTTTTACGAAGTGTTGTATGTGTAATTCCAAACGTGCCATGCAAGGGCTGTGTCAGTACGGTGCAGTGTGTTGGAAATGTACAGCTCCTGTTGGAGCCCTCTGTCAACAGCTGCTTTGTAAGGCCCCATCTTTCTGATGAGAAGGGGTAAAACAATAGCTTAATGGCAGCTGTGATAGTTCCATAGCACATTGGTATTTACTTCTGAGTTGTGATTTTGATGGCATTGAGCACCTGAAATGAAAACACTGAACAGTGTCTGTGGGGCCTTGTAAGATGCTCAAAGCATTTCATGTTGGTACATAAGCAGCATAATGTAGTATGTATACATTTTAGATTCCAGATTTTATTGGGCGGAATTTGTCCTTCAGTGAATAGTATTTTCTCTATGTTGCTGCATACAATTGTTCATGCAACACTGTCATCAAATCTCCAAGACAACAAATTTTCCTGAAGTTAGGGTTACAGATGTGTCTGCCAGTGTAAATATAAAGCAACTGTTCTTTCTGTTAAAATTGAGAAGTCCCAGCTAACCCGTTTTTATGATGGAAGATACTTGGAAGTCTTTAGACAGATGCCCTAAGAAAAACTGGGGTATTTGTGAGCACCACTTCTCCAGAGTACAGTTTTAACACTAAAGGTGTTAGAGAAAGAAATGTGGGGGTGTAGAAAGTGGACAGGTAAAGACTGTGAGTTGTAATGTCTATTCAGATAAAAACTTGTAAGTTTGGTAAAGGTATTTGGATTCATTCAACTTGAAAGTATTCTGCAAGTACTTCTGAAGGTTTTGAACCTTCAGAGTTTTTACCCTAAGACATGACTTCAAATGGAAAATCAGCTAGCGCTTCTGAAGGCAGCTGGTCTATAGTTGAGTTAGGAATAAAAAGGTGGTCTTGTAGTGGTAGCCTGACAGCTGTTCTCCTGGATGTCCTGCACAGAAGTGAAGAAGAAAACCACCCAACCCCCAGAGGTACATCATCCCTGAGCAGAGACCTGAATGTGTATCGTGAGAACGAGGTATCACTGGCAGATACAGTGGGGCTACAGTAAAGGTTTATGGCTGGGAAACTTCCTATCGGAACAAGTTCATGAAAGGCACTTAAGGATATCGAGATTAACCACCAGCACCCAAATGTGGGAAAGGGCATGTGCTATGTGTACTACTTTCACTTTTCTAATTTCTGTTCTCCTATACGTATGCTTTATACCAACATTGGCATTTGTGAATTAAAGCATGACTGAAGTTAATTGCATCGCTGCTGAAAAAAAATCCAGCAAAGCTTTTGTTGCTTTACTTGGAATCTGACTTGCAGATGTACATGTTTCAGGAAGGTAAGAAGACTTCTAAGGGAGGGCAGAACCATGGAATTGTTGCAAGGGTAGCCATGAGGTGAGCTTGCTAACTAGTCTAGTTGTGCTTCAGTTTCAGATGAGTGTGTTCTGCAGTACCTTGAAAACCAAAGATTGATGCTCAAATGATGAGAAGAGTAGTACTGAGCTTAAGACACCTGTCAGACAACGGTGAACCCAATGTGGGAAAAATATAATTGGAGGAAAACTTTCTTTTTCCTAATTTGTGACTGTTAAGAGATCACTGAACCTTCAGGAAATGGGACAGCTGGGTATTAGTTGCCCTCTTCTAGCCCTTAAAAGCACCTGTCAGTTTGTTGCTAAAAGGTAGATTTCAACCTCCCTGCCATGAATTACCTTCTGCTTGAGTTGCAGTCTGTTACTTCTGTGGCTAGGTAATCGGCTCTAATACAGCTGCTCTGTCCAATAATTTTGAAGGCCAGTTACGAAGTGAGCTATGTTAACTGCATTACAGGGAGACAGCAAACTTCATCTTAGATTTAAAAAAAACCAGGGAGATGGACATGGGAAGGTAGGGTTATCCTACGTAGCCCTTCAATTCTACCTTACTGACAGATCTGAGACACCCACTGGAAGATGTCTTTGTCTCTTCTGTTTCTCCAAGTAATCAAGTTAGATGACAAAAGCCTGTAAGCACCTCAAGGACTTCACCTTTATTTAATCTTCATGGGCAGAAGGTGGAAATTATTTACCTGAAGTAGACAGAAGCTGATGTATGATCTGAAATTGAATTGCTGTAGTGTTAGCGTCCACTTAACTGAATGATTGAGCTAGGCAACATGTACTGTTATGTCTCTAAACTCCCTGAGGTATCTGGAAGGTGTTCCTGCTATGTTCCTGGCTATGCTCAGACCATCTCTGTGTTTAGGTTTTGTTTTATCTGCTGCATGTTCTGTAAGGATTAAACTAGGCGAAAAGATTGATACCTTCGGGAATGAATGACAGGGACATGTTTGAAAGAGCCATGGAAGACTTTGAAGGGTCCACACTAGCTCCATGTTGCTGTGGAGCTGCAAGAGAGTTCCTTTTTCTTTAAAGCCAGTGACTGTGCTTAGACTGTTCTGGTTCTGGGATTTAAAATTACACAGAGACCCAAGTAACCCTTTGATGAATGTCCGAGAGAGCGAGCTAAGCTACACATGACATTTATGTCAGTTTTTAAAATGTCAGTCATTGAGTTTGAACTAACACCTCCTAGGTATGAAATTTTGCGTTCTTTTAGGTATTGAGCTGTCTAGTGTTGTTGAGCCAAGCTGACCACAGGTACCCATGCAGTTCTTGAAAATCCCATGATGGTAACTGTTGCAGATTTGGACAAGCCATCCTGACTTAGGCTACAGTTGTCTTATTTTCTCCTTTTTGTTTGTTATTCTGTGTTGGAACTCATTTCTGTGGACCAGATTGAATTTCTCTCAAGAGCACTGTGTTAATCTTTTATCTGATTATGGCTTTATGGATTTAAATACAGAGTTCTGTCTTCATTCTGTCTGTTTCTTCTCCAGTTATTGGGGAAAAAACAGCCATGGCAACAATTTCCTTTAGTTTTTAACAGACAGGGAATGTCTGTAATAGACTTGGCAGAATGTAATCTTGTTTTATTGTTATTTCCAGTTATGAATTTCTGTCCTTTTGACAAACTGTAATAGTGTACTTTAGCCAGTTCATAGCTGAGCTTGAAGAAACTGGGGAAAAACCAAAACATAGGCTAATACTGTTGGGCAGAGCTGTCTGCTGGGGTTGGCCACCAGGTATATGCCCAGTACCAGTCTTGAAGGAGTTGACAAGGAGATGTAGGCTTTATTAGACTGTAATGTGCTTAAACCCCATAGTTGGGCTAGTTACAGGGCTGCCAGGTGGAAAAAAACCTTGTATCTAAGCCTAAAATGCAGAGTCTTCTGTGTAGAAGTTGAAGGAGGGGAGGTGGTTTAAGGAGAGGTTACTGCTTTCATGGCTGGGGTAGGAACATGACTCTTTGGAGATAGGAAACTTGGGAAATATCTGGTGATCCAGCCCCTGTGAGCGGGAAGCTTCAAGAGAGCTAATGCTTTTTTTCTGAGAAACAGAAGGATCTTGAGAGAATAAGCATCTAGAGATTCCAGAAGAAGACTACCTCTTCTCAACTTCATGGTAAAAGTGAAAAAGAACTGGCAATCCTGCATGCAAAGAGTAAAAACCGTAAGTATTAGCCTGTTGGATGTTCTGTGTGTTGGAAACCTAGCAACACCTATGAAGATGTTACTGAGAAGATGTGAGCTTGGTTAACTTGGTGCTGGTAAACTTGGTCAAAACACAGCCTTACAGGAGACAATGCCCTGAGGATGTCAAGGGTAAAGGAACAACAGTAAGTGAGGCTGGAGCTGTAGTCCTGACCCCTTTGTCAAGAAGGATTTGTACTGTTGGTTTGGCTGAAGGTCAAGTACCAGTCAGTCTTTTATAACTGAGATTTCAGTAGCAGAGAAGACTCAGCTGAGAATAACTGTACTCCAAAACAATCAGGTATTTTTATTTTGTTGTAATGGTAGCTGTGTGTCCTGGTTTCGGCAGGGGTAGAGTTAATTTCCTTTCTAGTAGCTGGTGCAGTGCTGTGTTTTGGATTTAGGATGGGAACAAAATTGATAAGGCACCGATGTTTTAGTTGTTGCTAGGTAGTGCTCACACTAGCCAAGGACTTTTCAGCTTCCCGTGCTCTACCGACTGAGAAGGCTGGAGGTGCACAAGAAGCTGGGAGGGGGCACAGCCAGGACAGCTGACCCAAACTGGCCAGAGGGACATTCCATACCATGTGACGTCATGCTCAGTACATAAACTGGGGAAAGCTGGCCGGGGGGGGCCGCTGCTCGGGGACTGGCTGGGCATTGGTCAGCGGGTGGTGAGCAATTGTACTGTGCATCACTTGCTTTGTGTATTATTATTATTATTATTATCATTTTATTTCAATTATTAAACTGTTTTTATCTCAACCCACGAGTTTTTCTCACTTGTGCTTTTCCAATTCTCTCCCCCATCCCATCGGGGGGGGGGGAGGGGGCGAGGCGGCTGCGTGGTGCTTAGTTGCCGACTGAGGGGGGGGGGGGGGGGGGGGGGGGGCAGTGAGCGAGTGGCTGCATGGTGCTTAGTTGCTGACTGAGGTTAAACCACGACACTGTGCTTCTGTCAAACTTTGTCAATGTGAAAATTCTGTTACTGTGAAGAAGATAGCAAATTCCCTAGAAACTTGATAAAACATCATATTGGTAGTGTATGTTGGTTGAAAGATGGAAACTAGATGTGGAAAAGCCCCACCCTACTATCTCACAGTAGGGAGGAAGGAGAGTGTTCTGCCTTGCTAGTGGCTTATATTTTGTTTAAAGCTCGCAGGGGCCTTGGAGTTGTATCCTCTT